TACTCTAATAATTAATTATTACAATTTTATCAGTCCTTATTGAAGGATGAAAAGAATTGTGGGCTACCAACGGAGAAAAGTAGAACTATCAACTTCTCTCACTAATCAAAAGAGAATGGAATTTGTCACAAGTCGTGTGTAGTGTTGCACACTAAACGTGTTTAGTGTTGAAGGGAACAACATGAATATTTTGATCCATGCTACAAGAGTTCTCTCTCTTAAGTTTAAGAAACCACAATAAATGCCGACACATGGTCCACCACAATTGCTCTGTATATCATCAGAATTGCTAAATATAACTATTGTCTAGCTGAGTCGTCATCCTCCAACAATACAAGGTTGGGGGAGAATGACTAAAAATTGAGTATTGCCTAGAAAAAAATACAAAGCACTTCAGGAATTTTGTATTTACAAGAATTTATGGTGAGAACCATGTACTCTGCAAATTTGATTAAACCACAATAGAAAGGCATAAAATATTACACCAGGCCATGCTCTCTTTTATGGATAAAATAGTACAGAAATTATGGCCATTTAATATAATTTTTTCTTTGTTGTTGAAAAACTTTTTTCTTGATTTTTAGGAATGTTGCAGAATTGCAACATAGCCTGAATAATTCTTTTTCTGATCACGTTATACTATCTTGTATGCTTGTCAAGTTTTAAAATCAAGAAAAACTTCCACATAAATGCATAAATTCTAGGTTTCATAAATGGACCATACAAATACACGAAAAATAGAATAGTCACTAAAATTATATACACTTCTTTTTGTTCACTAAAAGAAAATAAAGATTATCTCTCGAATGTTTGTTTCTGTGCTTTGTATTTTCATGATATAACACTTATTTACGTTCATTGTGCAAGAAAAACATTAGGAAAGGCAAATTTTGCATATTTTTCATATTTTATTGGGGGAAAATTAAATTTTTATTAGCATTCTATCATAAAACTAATCAAGTGCAATTTTCATTTCCACAGGCCATGCTCTAATTGTTTCCATTATGTTTATATGGCTAGTGTATTGCTCTGAAGTAACACAGTACAGATTTCAATGTATGGCATATGTTGCAATTCTGCAACACGGATGGGTGTGTTGCATGTTTGCAACACATGGTGCTTAATGCATCTACGAGTTCAATCCAGTTGAGGACACAAACTAGGATAAAGCAAAAATTTCATAGGCTGTTCAAGATGTTACCATAGCTTTGTTGAACACGAATAATATTGCGGTATCGTGGCACTTGGGTGTATCTAGCGGCAGTGTGCAAGGTACCTAGTGTATCAGAATCTATAGAGGGGAACTGACAGTTTCGTGAACATCGTGGAAATAGACCTAGTTTGGAGGTAACGGTATCATGTTCTGAAGTAACACTACAGTTACTGGCTGCACCAAGCCATCTTTTCAAAGGATGTCAAAATGGAGTGCATATGTTTTGGAACCCTACGATACTTCTCCAAGGTGCCGTGGGTGCATATTTAATTTACATGGATCATAATGCCCATTCCTGTAGAGTTTCCCAAGATTGACTTAAATCTCATAGAACTTGTGTGGGATGTTCATTGCATCTCATCATCCATCAAAAATATACCAGGAGCTTCAATATATTCTTGATCAAGAATTGATTTTGCTCTCGATAGACCAGCATAAACAATTAATTTGCAGGAAGCAACCACATTTACATTAAAGATTTACAACAATTTAACATTATCTGAAACTGATTATTAATGAACTAAAATTGACGACCAGAACATGATGTGACGTTACAGAAGTAACCACGACAAGAAATTCGCATCTTGACTTCTTATAATGAACCAAAATGCGTCGTGTGACTAAAAAACATGACACCAGCACTTTCCACCATTAACTTACCATGGTCGTTTCCTATTTATTCTGTTGTAGTCAGAGGCGGACTAAGGCTAAAGCGGGCCCTAGGCAACATTGTAATTCCGGGCCTATTTTTAAAATTAAAAAATTAAAAACCTAATTTTTGGGGCCCCAAAAATTACGGGCCCTAGGCACGTGCCTAGGTTGCCTAGGCCTTAGTCCACCCCTGGTTGTAGTAAATACATAACTAAATAAACAATTAAAAACAGTGGTAAAATTCATTTATTTTTGCAGGAATTGTTAGAATGACACTTAGAATTACAATTGATACCGAATGAAATTTGCTTTTTTATTGATGCAGTATCTCGTAATTGTAGCTTACAAAACCCTGTTTACTTCCAGACGTTAAATTTGAGATTGGCCAAAGAAATGGCAAACTTGAAGGTATGTCGTGTACGATTATAATTACTGTTAGCAAGTATAAGTTCATTGCAAGCATGGGGTTGCTCAAGTTGGCCTTCCTCGGTGCCAAATTAATGAAGATCACAACATTTGTCTCCAATATTAACTGCAATAGCTTTAATAAGAGAAAGAGATTGATTATTTTTAAGATGGTTGTTCCCGATCAAATTTTGCACCTCCTCTCACAATATTAATTCGATTCTTCCTTACGCAAAACTCTCGCCACCTTTCCTGTATTCTCCACAAATAGCATAAACAAATTAGTCACACATTACAAACCCGTGATTGTCGCTTTCTCATATTCCAGTTACCAGTTTTCATTCCTCATTTAGAAGCATTTCCATTCTTCAGTTTGTTTGTTTTGCTACTATTTTGACGATGGTGATATAAGCTTGCTCGGCCAAGCTGACGCCTGTGTTTGCTGAAGTGACGTCAGATCCGAACTGATAGGCCAGGAACACACATGCGTAAAATTCGGCTTAAAATCTAGCATAAGGCCAGGGACACATATGCGTAAAATTGTGTGGCAGAAAACTGAATCAAAAATCAGCTTTCAGTTCAGTTTCTGTTTTACGCTTTTATGCCAGAACACATACGTAAAAATTCTGGCCGAATAGGAAACACCACTGCCACCAACAGTGCTAATTTTATTAATTTTTTTCCTATATCCCTTTGTACCTTCCATTTTTCCTCTACTTCCTCTGCTATAATATAGAAAATTTAGATTAATAGACTTGTATTCCGAGTTCAAATAAAGAACGTGTGATCTAAATACTAGGCCTATATATCGATTCTACTAGACTTACCTGTTATTTGAAATTTAACACCTATTTTACATTATTTGAAATTTAACACCTATTTTACATTATTTGAAATTTAACACCTATTAAACATCCATAAACGTTGTTTAATTACAGTGTCTTCATACATGACACTGATGTGGTCGAACGAATTCAATAAACTCTTCTATTTTTCCAGACCGTCACAATTGTAGTAGAAACCCTCATTGCCCCCATTTTTAGAATAAAAACCACGTGTCTACTTTGACGTCACAGGAAAGACTTCTCTTTATTGGAGGAATTTTGGCGTAAAAATTTTTCGGCGTAAAAAGTAGAGACATACATTGAGTTGACTCTAGATTGGGCTCCACTCTTCTTCCTGAACGATTAAAGTTAAGATGGAAGATTGTAGGCAAGTGACAAAATTATCTCCGTATTATTTCTGTAACTGCACGGCGTGGTATATTGTTAATTAATGCTGGAATACATTGCGGTCATTTTCTTAATCACGAATTTTGCATTGTGAAATTTTTTAAAAACGCTAGAATGAACCAAGGCAGCCAGAATGCGAAATTTCTTGTGGCTCTCTTGCATTCTGTGCAATTTTTTGGCCTTCTAATTAAGATGTTTTAAGGAAGTTTCTAGTCATTTTTTCAGAAAATGGTTAAATTCTTCTCTTAATTCCAACTACGTTCCTCATAATTAGAGTAGGTGTTTACAAGTCATCATAGAAAACTATCGGGCAAATCCCAAATTTGGTACAAATATTGTCACGAGTTTGAGGTTTACATGGGAAAAATTTTACTTCAAAATTCAGTTACTTGAGCGAAATTTGGCACGACTTTCTCCATAATGCCAGTGTCTATTTGCGATTTATTAAATGTTTTCTAACGCCCAATGATGATAACCTACGACAAACAGTAATAGTAAGCAGTTTTCAATTAGATACAGCATAACAATGAAAAAATTTGACATCATCTATACGCCTTTAAAAATAAAAATACGTTACGTAACATATTAGAGTGTTCAGAATTAAAATATGGATATCAAAAGCCAAATGCTATTAAGCAATTGGACAGGAAGCAGGTCCGCATCTTTTTTAATCAATTTAAATTTTAGAATACTGTATTCTGGAAAAAAATATTGGCCCGAATAGGGACTGGAACCCGCAACTCCTGTTTATCGTGAGTTCGGGCCTATATTTTCTTCCAGAATATTCTAAAATTAATTTAAATTGATTTATTTGTAATTATTATACTGTCTTTGATAAGAGATAGCGGCCTGCCGCCTGCCAAGTTGCATAGTAATTACTATAGCCCGATAAAGGAATTTGTTGTTCGTTTGGTGTCGTCTTAGCTTGTACAGTACTTATTAAATACAGTATTAATTAATTTTTCGAGATTTTTTATTTTAATTCAAAAACAAAGTTGAAAGGATCATCATAATATTTATATACGCGAGAAAATACTGTATATACGGGGAAACAAGAAATTAAACCGACGAAATGAAATTGGTGATAGCGGGATAAATACAAACAATTTTCATCCTTTCAACCGATTTTTAACTCTCTCCGGCCTTGTGAGCACTTTTAGCAAGCCTATTATGGGTTGGGCTTGGCCCACAATGGGGCGGCCGGATGGTGAGGGCCGGGGCCCGACATATCCGGACGGACCACCTCCCGAAAAATTCCTGGGGATTTATCGACCCGTCCGGATTCGAACCCGGATGTACAGTACTGTATAGATATTGTATAATATAGCTCTACACTTTAAAATTGACAAAAAGTCAATATAAACTATTTTATTACTAAAATATAATAATATTAAAATCACAAACGTAAAAGTAATCAAATATTTTTAAAAAATTATCACTAAAATTTATCTACATTCCAATTTTCAACACCAGAGAGCGCCGAGTGCTACTTGGATTCCAAGATGGCGGCCTTCACGTGTGATATTTTTATCCACGCTTTCTTCTCGCTTCTAGCATTATTTGTCGTTAGGTTTGTGATCGTAATGATGAGGATACATAATCCAAATAAAAAGGGTCCAATGAACATAAGAAGAGCCAATTGCAAATTGATGGTGGTTATGGGATCGGGTTAGTAATTTAAATCGAGGATTTTTTTTTCAATGTTGATGTTTTTTTTTTATATAATAATCTAATTTACAGGTGGACACACGTACGAAATGGTACAATTAATCGCAAGGTTAAATGAAAAATACACTCCTATTGTATATATAATTGCCGAGACCGATGTAAACAGCGAAAAGAAGGTTCACGAATTGGAGACATTTAAAATGATTGTAAATATTAAATTTTTTATTTATTCTTATTACACTGCTGGCCAAGCAAAATGCAACACCTGCAATATCTACAGGCCTGCATGGTGTTGCATTTTACTTGGCCAGCAGTATATTTGTATGGTTTGATTAATAATGCATATCAGCTATTTATTATGTAGGTAATGCCCTTTTCTGGAAATTTTTTGCAATAATTTATTGTGTTAAGTTGCCTTAAATCTATATACAAAGAAATAGTATATTTTTCTACACATGTTAATTGTATAGAAATATGTATTTAGGAATGATAATTAGCAGTTGTTTGACATAGTATTTTAAATGTGAACAAATAACATTCATTGTATTGTAAGCATGATTTCTGAATGGCTAACTCTGTTGTTGTATACAGCCAATAGCATTCGATCGGACACACAACATTTGTGATATGTGATAGTGAATAGAATTTGATGAAACCAGAACAACACACTCAGGTAAATTCTGAGCTGATCCAGATTTGAATCTGGATTTCCCAAGTATGCTTTCATGTGTATTCTCATCCCAACAAGCCAAGAGTTAGACTCTAACTTATTGTCATGTTTCAGAATACCATCAATCTAGATTGAAGTTGTAAATAGCTGTTTTACGTGGAATATTTAATAACTTACACAATAATTTGCTGTAGAATAAACTATTTCAAAGAGATAAAGTACTGTAAAGTATTTATTTCTGTAGACTATTTCTATTGTAGCCACAAATTCTAAAATTTTCAAGGATGCTACCGACAAAAAAAAATATAATTAAAGTTTAGACATATTAAGAATATTATCATTATTTGCATGGCAGTCACATCAAAATTTTATAACATTTTAATTGCATTTTGTAAGCGGCAAAAAAATTCTTAACATTTTGTTATTCAAATGTAATTATCTGATAATCCATTTAATTAGCTTTAATTTTTTATTGGACATAGATGAATGCTTGTATTAAAGTAAAAGGTTTTTGCGGTTTTAAATCATACCAGTAAATAATTACTTGGCATGCATATTAAGTAATTTTTTGTTTAATTTTAAAGGTAAAACAAGGAGAAGGCTCGTACCTAATTGAGAAGATTCCAAGAAGCAGAGAGCTCCATCAGTCATGGCTCTCTAGTGTGGCCACCACGTTATATGCTATTATATACAGTATACCTCTGGTGTTAAAACATCAGCCTGACTTGGTGAGTAAATTTCGAAATGCAAAAATTTATTATAATTGTTTATTCATGATTATTGATCTATTTACATTTTTAGATAATTTGTAATGGACCGGGTACTTGCATACCAATCTGCGCAGTTGCTTTTTTAAATAGCGTAAGTATTACTTATAATATACTTATATTAACTCTGGTGTAGATTGCAGTTTATTAAATGCTCTATTTTAACACACAATTTTTTTTACAGGTCGTTGCCATTAAGAAGATTACAATAGTGTACGTGGAGAGTATCTGCAGGGTGAAGACCCTGTCCTTGTCGGGAAGGATACTCTACTACTTCGCTGACCACTTTCTTGTGCAGTGGCCTCAATTGTTCGAAAAATATCCGAGATCCAAATACTTTGGACGCCTTGTCTCTTGATCGCATGTTTATATAGCTCGATAAATTAATTTATATTTTTGGGCTGTTGACTATATACACTTTTTCTACGAGTTCTAACTGAAAGTGTGGTTTTTTAATAATCTAGAAGAAGAATTTGAAATGTGTGTGTATAAATTAAATTTTTCTGACAAATGTTCATTCATGAGTGTAAAGTACACTTTACACTCATGAATGAACATTTGTCAGAAAAATTTAATATTTTATAAAATTCATTCAATGTTATTTTTAAAATATTCTAAGAATTTTTAGAATTTTATTTATTTATTGAACACAAGAGAAATCATGTATTTTAATTGTAATTGTTTTTCTTCTTCACATTATCTTAGTTTGTATTTAATGTGTATGCTGTTATTAAGTCAGAGTACTGCATGAAATGGAAATATTTGTTAAACTCTTACACAGCTGAAATGTTAACAATAAAATGATATTTTCTTGTTAAACTTTCTCTCACTCTGTTGGTATTGATGCATTTGGGACTGAACACCTGTGAAAAATTTCTGGAGAGTTGCTCTTCTTGAGCACCAGGCCAATGTCTTAAATGCCTGGACCATCAAACAGTACATATGAAATTTGCATTTTTGTAGTTACCTTCAACTGTAATTCATTTTTGATGTACAGTATCTTATTTTTCAATTAATGTAGCTCTACATTTATTTGACCCTTTAAACCACTATACCATGGATACTAATAACTAATATACAGTAGAGCATCGATTATCCGATCCCCGATTAACCGTTACATCGGTTAACCGACCGTTCTAATCGGCAAATTTCAAATGTCCGCTAGTGATGTGGCGCTACAATATTTGGCTATGTTTTGGATACTTTAATATTTTTGTTAACTTTTTGCGTGTTTTAGCTGGCAACACGACTCGGCCATTGAAGGGAGGCCAGTATTTAAACGATACGTAATTTTCTAATTATGAGTGGTTGTTTGTTTTGTGAGCAATAAAATAATTTAAAAATAATTTTTAACGATACAATAGCGACGATTATTATTTTAAAAAATATTGTTAGGCTAAAACATCGATGAAAATTCAACGCGAAGTTGGTTAATAGCGATATACTAATTGCATGGGATATCCTAATATACTATAGTAATAATGTATTTTTTTCGGTTATCCGATTTTTTCAGTTATCCGACCAACCTCAGTACCCAATTGAGTCGGATAATCGATGCTCTACAGTATCTTTATCATGCGTGTTTTGGTTTGGATATGACACACAATAGGAACACAGCCAGGTGGCAAAAGATTGAAATACTTGGAGCAATTTTCCTGTGAAAATTTGGGCTGATTCCCAAGATTCAAAACTGAGATTCCCAAGAGTATTGACGCTTTTATCATCTTGGCATCCAGTTATCTGATGATCACATATAGATTATTGAAGAAGTAAATGGCGATTTAATTCCATATTTATCACTAAAACTTTCGATTTAACATTAATTAACATCGGTTTAGACCACAATCATTTTTCCAGCTGTTATATATAACAGAGAGAAAGTATGGCAATCGGTCAAAACATGACCCCCAAGAGTTTTACTTTTGTGGACTCGAGACCTTAAAACCTCGAGAAATGCAAAAATGGTGCATCATATTCATATTTCGATTAGGGCCAGACTTAATGACGATTTTACTCGTTATTAACATATTTTTAATTTAGTAACAGATGGCGCCACCAAATGTTGCCAAGAAAGTTAATCAACACGTTACTGGATTTTTGTTTGGAATGAAAACCGATTATCGAAATGAAAAAAATCAACTAAGTTTGGGATTATCCTTACTCAAAACTTGAATTCATCTACACACGAAACAAAATCTAGTTTTAATGTATATTTCGCATACCGAAGGTCATTGCGCGCGATTAGCTCGTTTTAATGCGATTTAATTCGAATTAACGATTTAAGAAGCTAGAATTCTCTATTCGACACGAAGAAATTTCTTACTTTTTACGGAGAATCTGTTCTGATATCCACGATCCTAACCGATGCTTCGTGTTCAACTGAGCTTAAATTTTAAAAAATTGGGGTCAAATTTAGTCCATTGAACGTTTCAAATAATGTTTATGAGTAACTATATAGATTCTACTCCATTAAATCATTAATTAGTAGGTCTGGATGAAATTCTGATAACTATAGTACCCCGATAACGCTTTGCTCCTGATAACTCAAAAATCCTATAGGATTAGTAGACAATGCTTGCTTACACGTATAAAATTATAGGAAAATAATTTATTAAAGGAAGAAAATAATTTAAGTTACAACTACACAACTTTATACGACGATTTTTCCTTCACGAAATTCTTCCCATCTAAAACAAGGAAGCAATTTTTTTTTTAAAGTATTAACTACGTCATAATTTTAAACTCTTCTAAATTGTTTTTACCTTTGCACACCTCTAAACACTCTTCCTTAGTTTTAAAATTGTTCTTGTTTCCGCCACATCCTCCATACATGAACATCAAGCAACTTCCATTGCTCTTATCGTAGTAGTATCTTTCCATGGATGCCCTGCAGAATCCTGGATCGAGACGGAGATCGCACGCATCTGAAGGATAAACAATTAAATTAAGTTATTGTAACGGGTCCTAATTTTAAAATTTTGGCAATTACCTTCGGCTCGGCTGATCGTAAGAATGCAGCAAAGCGAAAGTAAACTCTTGTACATGTTGATGTAGTGATGATTTATGGAATTCTGAACAAACAGGAAGATTTCTACGTATTTATTCACGTGGAACTAATGGACAATCATTCAAAGTAACTAGTTCGAGTAGCTGAACAATTGAAAAATAAATTTACGATAAAAAATCCTGAAGTACCTCTTATTGTAAACAGGATTTCTAATTAGAAGAGATGCACTCGCTCGCAAATAATGAAATATATTTAATATTAATCGTATAAATTGAAAAATAATGGTAAATATTAATTTTTTAACGTTCTAGAGGAATTTAAACGCAGAAAACAGTATTGTTTTCACTTGTCTAGAGCACAAGATGTGCTGGAAACTAGGTCAGACAGTAGAATTTCGGGGATGAGTGAATGTTTCAGGAGATGCTTCAAAGATTGTTTACAGTTCTCGATACGGTTGAAAGCAAAATCAACGACGTATATAAACGTTTTATCAATTACTTCCTGTTCTATAATTTCGATTTTGGGTTGATTTTTCTGCCAAATTTTGCAATTCAATGCTTTAAAACTGGTCTTCATCACTTACTGGTATCTAGTTTAATCTTTCACGTAATTTCAAATTGTTTTTAACCTTCACATTTTTAATAAGTCAGTCAAGTCAGAGGATTTAAATGAAGAGAATGTGATAAATTTTATTAAAATATAATTCTAAAACTAGTGCCCGATCATCTTACAAGTTAATTTTAATCCCTGTTTTAGGTTTTAAACAATTCCATTTATAAAGTTGAAACAGAACATTCAGGACAATTGAAATTAATTACTAATTAAGGCTTTTAGATGTGTTAATTTTCCATTATATTGTTTTCTATACTCAAACAGGAACTAAACATTGGCAGTGTGGAGTATTTATTTCTCACAAATTCTGATGAATCACTTCCCCGTGTTCTAAAACACAGATGGGCAACCCGCGCCCGGGCCACATTAATATTAATGCGGTCCGCGTCGCATAAAATACGTATAATCCCGTATGAGGTCCATATATCAATTTCCTAGCTTAAGAAGTATGCAGCAAAAATTCAAACGTTATTTACTACAACTTATGTATATAAATAGTTTTTCCTGCAATGAATTTAGTAAAAATTAAAACACGAAACCGCTAATAGACTCACATCGAAATTAATTTAAAACTAGAAGTGACTAGTATTTAATCAAATATTTTCGATACATTACGTTTACATCAGTTCTAGAAGCTAAATTAAGTATATCTATGCAAATTTATAATTATATATGAATAAATAATTGATTTATCGGCATTCCCCCTTATCTTGTATGAGGCCCGCGTCAGTTCAAAAGTTTTGAAATGCGGCCCTTATACAGAAAAAGGTTACCCATCCCTGTTCTAAAACATGAAAAATGATGAAACATCTGTCTTAATGGCTTTATATGACATGCTGTTATGACCAAAGAACATTCTCATTCATCTTCAATTCAAGTCAGAACAAAGTATGACATTAAAAACACATTAACATTGTCTAATAAAAAACTGAAATCTAATTCTTAAAAATGGATGGTTGTATGTTAAAGAGGTTGTAAAGGTATCAATGTTATATACTCTCCCCTCCCAAATATGTTGAACCCTGTCTGTTAATCATCTGGTCACCACCATTGTTGACCAAGGTGGATCTATGAGGGGCACACAAGGTCTTGTTAGTGTTTTGTGTGTTAAAAGTTCTTATAATTCAACCTTCTGCATATATACCAAGGGCTGAAAAGAAAAGAATTTAAGATTTTGAGTTGAAACTACAACTGCTAACTCAAATATGGAAAAGACATTCTATCAGGGGCGTGCCGTGACATTTGATGATAGGGAAGTTGTGTTTCTATAAGAAGCCGACATCCAGGGGTAATCAGTTAATTCTTTCTTTAAATGTATTTTTAATAGATTATTTATCTGACGTACGTAATAAACAAGTTCATTATAATTGCCTCTGTTATTATATCCAATATATTCCATATGCCTTCTAAATGCCAATTCTTGCTTTGATAAAAACATATAACATCTATTTATTTAGATATAATATATCTATTACCCATAATTATCTCGTTACAATTTTCAATATTTATTTTATATTATTTACTAATGTTAAATTCTATTCCGCTTCGATTTCCAAATTGCTTCAAATACGAAAGAATCGACGATTTTTCGTGTCTTTTGCCAGCTAAATTGTCAAAGACATTCTTATTCCACACACTAATTTCACTCTGTAAATGCATTTTTATGCATTTACAGAGCCATTTTATCGTGAAAATATCGAACAAATTTTTTTATTGAAGCGT